CACGCGCACACACACACACACACACTTTATGGCCCTGCCCATCAGCTGATCCCACGGACATTTACAGGCTGCACCCAAACGCTGACAAGTTTTGACTGATGTCTCTGTCTAGATACAGACAGAGGCACAGATAAAAGTAATGGCATTAAGATCAGGACTAAAGCTGTTTATAAGTCATCAGATCCACATGGCTCGGTTTTGTTGTGCAGCGCTCAGCTGATGATGCACGCACGCGTCACAAGCTGGAGGCTGGAGTCTATCTACTTGACGTTTCTGTTGGTGAAGTATTCTCCAAAAGGCAGTACAGTTCATAACGTGTACAATCATTTGAAAATGAGAACAAGCTCTTGATAATAAGTTAATAAAGTATTTAAATGGGGAGCAGTGCGCACAGTGTGGAGAACAGTCAGAGAGTTTACACAAATTCTCCACCTCTGGTTCTGGCTGATCATGAGCCTGCCTGACACATGCAAAAAACATTTTGGCTCACCGGAAACGATGACTCAGACTCGTTTCCGGTGAGAGTTGGACTCCGCCAAGGTTGCTCTTTGTCACAGATTCTATTTATAACTTTTATGGACAGAATTTCTAGGCGCAGCCGAGGTGTTGAATGGATCCTTTTTGGTGACCGTAGGATCACATCTCTGTTTTTTGCAGATGATGTGGTCCTATTGGCTACATCAGATCATGAGCTCCAGCTCTCACTGGAGCTGTTCACAGCTGTGCAACCGGGATGAGGGTCAGTGCCTCCAAATCCGAGACCATGGTCTTGAGCCGGAAACCGGTAGCATGCCGCCTCTGGGTTGGGGAGGAGGTCCTGCCCTAAGTGGAGGAGTTTAAGTATCTCGGGGTCTTGTTCACGAATGAGGGAAGAATGGAGCAGGAGATTGACAGACGGATTGGTGCTGGGTCTGCAGTGATGCTGGCGCTGTACCGGTCTGTCGTGGTGAAGCGAGAGCTGAGCCAGAAGGCAAAGGTCTCGATATACCAGTCTGTCTACGTTCCTACCCTCATCTATGGTTGCAAACTTTGGGTAGTGACCGAAATAACGAGATCGTGGATACAAGAAGCCAAAATGAGTTTCCTTTGCAGGGTGTCTGGACTCTCCCTTAGAGATAGGGTGATAAGCTCAGTCATCCGGGAGGGACTCAAAGTAGAGCCGCTGCTTCTCCACGTCGAGAGGAGCCAGTTGAGGTGGCTCAGGCATCTGGTTAGGATGCCTCCTGGCCGCCTCCCTGGTGAGGTGTTCCGGGCATGTTCCACTGGGAGGAAGCCCAGAGGAAGACCCAGGACAAGCTGGAGGGGCTATGTTTATCGGCTGGCCTGGGAACGAACGCCTTGGGATTCCCCTGGATGAGCTGGCCCAAGTGGCTGGGGAGAGGGAAGTCTGGGTCTCTCTGCTTAGGCTGCTGCCCCCGCGACCCGACCCCGGATAAGCGGCAGAAAACGGAAGGACCGACGGACATATTGTTGAGATTAACATCAAGATAAATTGTCCAAACGTTTCAAAAACATACTTGATAGACAGACATTGAGTCCTGAATATGGTCATATGAAAATATTATGAATTCTTGAAGACCCCTTTATGAATGCCGAGAAGCTCAGAACATTGATTGTTTCAAACCTTGTCCTTCATTCGAGGCATTTGCCTATACTGCCTATGCCACGGAATGGCCCTGCTGTCTGATGGTATGAATTGCACATAAAATGGATTTTTCCCTAAGTAATTTATTTAACTGTATCTTCGCATCCAGGTTTGTCCGAAACCTGAACACATCACACGAGGGCTGGATACCTGCTGCTAATCTCCTCACGCTCATCAGAAAATCCAAGTCATGTCAGTCTCTCACCAGCTCAGGTATTTAAAGAAAAAAAATAAAGTGACATGTCACACAGCTGTTGAATCTGAGCGAACTCCTTCAATGTTTGTTTGTTTCTAACAGAAGGCAGCGGCTCCGGGAACATCAGCACATCGTCCAGCTGCAGCGAGACCTACACCAACTTTTCAGACATCAAACCCTGAACCCTTCAGCCCCTCTCCTCCTGAACCAGGCATCACACAGCTGTATCTCCTATAGCTCCAACATCAGTGCTCATTGAAGTTTTGCACAGAAACCTGTATTTTTTCATTATTTTTATCATGCACATCCACAATAGAACAATGTGTTTTGGAGCTAACATGTGAAGATACTCAGCACATGCACACATTTAATACAGATACTCACAGCAAACTAAAGAGAATTCTCTGGTTCTTATGATCAAATAACAGATGCGTGGATGGACCAGCAGGACTGATCTCAGTAAATGCATCTCACTTTACAATCATTTAGTGTGGGTGAGAACTCTTACATTCATCTACAGAACAGTACATCTTTTTACATTTTAACTGTTACTATGTTTGTAAAATTAAAAAAGGGAAAAAAAGATCAACATGAAGCTTGTTTAGCTTGGATGTGTCCCTTTCTTATCCTGTCTTCGTCATATTGGTCATTTTCCTTCCTTTTCCTGCTGTTTTTGCTCATCCTCTGTCTGTTTAGTGTCAGTTCGTCTTTTTTCAAATAATGTTCTGCCAGCAGCCGTCTAGACATTGTGTGTGAATTTTCTGTCCTTCCACGTCATCACGGTCCAACTTTTTTGGGGTTATTGTACTTGACAACAAATGTTTCTCGATATGAAGTATCAGAAACCGCTGTATAATGCTAACTTATTCCCTGTGAAGGAATAATGTTCTGAATGTAGATAGTGCGCACTGATAACAGTCTGTCACGTTTGTCAATGAAGATGCTATATTGTACATTGAGTATGGTGTTGTCACAACTCGGTGACTTGTTTAATTTTTTTACATAAAGTAATAATTGAGTCTGTTTCATTGATTTATTCATTGCCACTTTATTTCTGTTCAGATTTTACACAAACTTTATCTAATAATAACTACAAATGAAACTGCTCAGTTGGATTGCCATTTTTTCTTTCTTTAAGATTAACTTAGTCTTTCATATACAGCAAACTGACTAAAAATGCAAATTAAGATGGGAGGGGTATAGTAAATTTCAAAGAAGTAAAAGTTAAAATGTAGCTTAAAGAACAGATACAGGAGTTAAAGTCTTTAAAGCCCCATGTGGAGAAAAAATATATATTATGCCAATAACGTAACACAAAGCATGTTATGAATTGATATCAAGATAAAAACTGCATTAAATGCACATTTAGATCATTTCTAGGGATGTTAATGTAGTTACATACATAGAATAAAAAAGGGTTCCATTTCTGGTAATAGATATCAAATCCATTTTGATAATGTGGATCATCTGCCACTGGATCCTTAATTAAAACTTGAACTAAAACAAAAAGGTGAATGGTGGTTTTTAAAGGATAGTTCAAACCCATTGAAATCACTTTCAACTCTTCATATCTTACTTGCTGTACAGTAGCTCTTCAAATTTTCCATGTGGAGTTGTGGATTGTTGAGCAACACTAAGATCAAAGTGTATTACTGCCATGGTAAACAATTTTGTCAAAAATTTCATATTAGTTTTCTAGTGCACAGTTTTATAAACATTTACACCAAGTTTCACATTACACAATAATAATAATAATAATAATAATAATAATAATCCCAGTAAACTGTGTAAAATGAAAATTTCAGTAATGTAAAGGCTTATAAAAGTTGTTTTGGAAAAAAAAAAAAGCAAAAAATGGTCTTGGCCTTGCTTGGAGTAGCTGTTGATTGATAATCCAGTTGGAACTTAAAAGTCCTTTTTCAAACTGAGATGACAAAGACCCAGGGGAAGAACCGCATATCAGAATAAAAAATTATTAAGGTGAACAAAAAATAAGAGTATAGGGAACTTAAAAGAATGTATGTATGCACGCGCGCGCACACACACACACACACACACACACACACACACACACACACACAACTTTAATTGTGATCTCCTGCAAGTAGGAGTGTTCTTTCTTAAGTTTTCCTTTGGCCCTCGGGACTCCTAGCGGTCTTGTGTCAAACTCAAGACCCAACAAGACTGTTGAGGCTTAAACAAGACGTAAACAAGGACTTAAACTGAGAGAGGAGCAAAGCTACAAGTTAGGGTTTAATGATGACAGATTAAAACTGTGTTACGACTTGGTCCAGCAACTGTACTGTGTTTAAACTGACCAATAAGAGAAACATTTCTCTTCTACTCTTTCTGAAAACGCCAAGGAGTATTTTAAATAAAAATAAAAAAAGTCAAAAGTGTGAACTTTGAAATCAAAGTTTCTACTCCTCTCATCAACCCAAACGTTAGTAATACTTCAATTCAACTAATCAAAATTGTAAATACTTTGCAGGAAAAGCTGCAACTTTTCAGTTGTGGTCTCACTGAGTTCTGAGTGTTTGCAAAGGAAAACATTTATTTGGTTTGAGACGGGTTCGAGACGTCCGCAGACTGTGACCCATTAGAGTGAAAAAAATGCATAATATTTTTAACAATTACTACAAACTCAAGCGAGGAAATTAAGAATCTGCAAATATCATGTCAAAAGTTAGGTACTATCTCAACCATGTGTTCAGGAACAAAAAGACTGTCCTTTGGGCAGTCAGCAGGTGGTGGGTAGTCCCCATAATCTCTTCCTCCATTTGGGTAACAAAGTTGGACTGTACGTGGCAGGATGAGCTCCCCACCACTGCTGGTCAGGATCCCCTCATGCAGGTCCTGAACCCTGGAGAGGGTGTCAGGCTTGATATTCTTGGTCCCAGGTCTGTAAGCAAAATGAAGTGAGCCTATCTGACCTGCCTGGTGTTCAGTCATTTGGCAGTCTTTATATTTTCCAGGTTCTTGTCATCCGTCCACAGCATTCTGGGTAAATGATGACGTGGATAGGTCATCGGTGCCAGGCTGCTAGCGAGCTATATCCACCCTGAAGGTTAATCTTGGACAATATCTGATGATCGACTCTTTTAAATGAAACCAGAGAGTGTTGACAGAGAGGAGAAGGTAGAAATGACTCAGCCTGGAACTGAAAATATGAATGGAGGACAACAGAGCTGCTTCATGGAAGAAGAACCTCAGCTTAGCCTGTTAGCCTTCGTGCTAGCGCTGACGCTATATTGCCTTATATGTATTAGCTCGGTGCTAGTGTAACAAACAAGCTAAACTGAGGTCCTCCATCCATATTTTCAGTTCCAGGCTGAGTCATTTCTACCTTCTCCTCTCTGTCAACGCTCTCTAGTTTCATTTAAAAGAGTCAGATATTGTCCAAGATTAACCTTCAGGGAGGAATTAGCTCGCTAGTAGCCTCGCACCGATGACCTATCCACGTCATCATTTACTCAGAATGCTTTGTATGTAAATAAAATGGCTCTGTCCGTGTACTATATTTTTTAACCTTTAGTTTAAAAATTATTAAAAAATAAACATCCTACAGTATTTTTAGTCTTTATTTTACAGTTAAAATATATGTTTATTAAATAAAGTCTAATGTTGCAACTAATCAGGGATCCCTTTAACAAAATATTATATGATTTACTGAGCAGAATGTAGTGTAACTTTAGGAAAATGATCATCTTCAACTGATTTACCCAATTTAACAGGACT